GCTAGTAGGTTTTCAGTTAATTTTCTGAAAATTTCTTCAGAGTTTTGCAAGCCACATACAGCACAAGGACCATTATTCTGACATGTTTTTCCTCTTGCCATTGCTATTAGACAAAGTCAAAACTAAAATAAGATTAGAAAAAACTATTTTTTGATCAGTGTAGTAAAGACAACACCAAACCTTCTTACAAATTTATAGGTTGTAGTGTTATAAATTTTCGCGTGACTATACTAAGTGACCTTTTTTGCTTTTTTTAAAATAATGTGTTAATATAAATTACCGATCACGTTAATTGATTATATAATATATTTATTATCCAATAAAAATGATTCTTAACCATGCTGAAAGAGAATACTAGGCATTAATATAGGCTTTTATGTCACACAGTCATTGCATGGTCCCTTTGAAACGCATCATTTCACGTAATCCGCTTTCTCATATATTGATAAAATAATAATAATACTTTATTTGTGAAATAAACCGTTGCTAGAACCTGACCTACAATACATAAAAATTGGCCGTTAAAGCGCTTCGCATGACTATACTTCGTGGCTAAAGCCTATTGCTACATGATAAATAAAATATAGATAAAAAAATTCTAACTACTAAGAGGAGTATTTAAATACGTACAATAATATGAATTTTATCGTTAGGAGGTTGCTGGGGAAAATGACTAGAAATTAATTGATATGGGAACATTTCTTCCCCTCTTTCGTCTTGCCCATTATTATATTGTCTAATTTGATCGAAAATAGTTATAACTACTCTGGAATCAATCTTGCGAAGAATAAAGTTGGTAGGAAGAATATTTTCAAATAATGATGGCCACCTTTCCTTAATCATAAGCCTTAACAAATTGACCGTCTCGTTGCTAGAGATCTTAAGCGTAGTAATACTATGCCTTGTTATGCTTTCGGACGATGCATCAGGGATAACAAGACAATTAAGAGTAAAGTATTGACCATTGTCTGATTCCTATTTCCAAGGACTCATGGTTAGAAAAACTCGCTCCCATACATACATAATTTATGGTATATACATACCTTATTTTGCGTTATTTTTTACGGAAATGTTTTTTGCGGAAAGTTAGCTGAACTTTTACATACCATTACATGCTTTATATTTTACTGAGAAAAAGTTAAGGAGGTATGAGACATTATTAGCATTGTCGTCTGATACCAAGAGCTCTATGAAAGCACATGCAAATGAAATCTCATACCTTTTTCACATGGAGATCTACCAAAAAGACATATAGTTAATTTTACGCCTAGTGATCTCAGAATTGCAAGTCCCTCAGCCTTTCATAACATATACTTTTACTGGCACTATTTACTTATAGGGAAGGTCCTGTATTACATGTAGACCTCCTTTCACATTTTTCTCATGTTTGTTCAGGAAAAAAATAAAGATACTGGTTAGCATATATATTTTCTTTTCATTATATGCAAAAATTAATATGTCGCACAAGACCTAATTGATGATCCACTTATTTTTCTGTTACACAATCTGTGGCTCAGCAAAAAAATCTTCTGAGTTAACTATTACTACTTCAGATCAGTCTAAATCAGAATGGACGAACAATCATCCGCGAAGGCTTGTATATTAACTGATGTATGACCTGTTTATTTAGCCAATCTTCATTCTCTGCAAGAGTAAACTTATATCCGATCTTCTTACAAATATCCCACATTTTTTTGGCAGTTTGATAATAACCCCTTTTTCTTACTATAGTTCGAAAAAAGAAAACCTAACAGGATAGGTTATCTCCTGAAGGTCTTGACCGAAGGAGGGAATAAAGGGTATTAATTCAGGTGGAAGTTGATCAAGCAAATTAGCTGTATGCATTTTTTTATATGGTTAGAATATCTTTCAATCGAAAAAATAAGGTTAATCATTGCGCAGATCTGTTTATGCATTGTGGCCTAGCAAAAAATCTTCTGAGCTGGTGATCACTGCTCTGGATTAGCTAGATTGGTAGGAGGCTTAAATAAATGTTCGAATATTTCAGATAAAGGTTTTTTAACCCCAAATTCATGCACACGCTTTTTATTAACAGGTG